GCTCGTAGTTCCACAGCCACTTTGACAATGTTATGACGCAATTTATCATCAATAAGAGGACAGACGCATAAAAAAACTGACGTCAATTTGTTAAGTGAAACGTTCTCTGGAATAACAGCTCAACCACCGTAATCGGGTGTACTCAAAACGATATCAGCATTGCCTTTAAACCACGGATGATCCCAGGACAAAATTTCAAAACCTCAGCAGTATTCGCTTTATATATCCAACAATGGATGTTAACTAAATTTTGTCGTTTTGTGTTGTCATTTGAAGAATGTCGCGATGTGGAGACACTGAATATCGGCCAAACACAAATAACCAGTGTTCGACACGAACAATGCACGCCTCGACACGATGGAGTCCCTCTCTTCCCGGCACCTGGAAACTTTCTTTTGAATAATATTATAATATAGCCTAAAATTCATTTTAAATGTCTATTTAACTTTTTATAAAGATAAAAAGACAGAGGGTAAATGTAACTCGAGTTTCACGCACTAAGCGTGAAACTCGCTCAGTGCGTGAAACTTGAGTTACATTTAACTTCTGTCTTTATATCTTTATATTTTGCTCTGCATAATTTTTGCATAGAGCACTCTTAGGATAAGTGAAACAATTTATTCACTGGTTATCCTTTTATTAAATTTTGCACAAAGTTGATTCTAAGTTAGTTAAAAGGTTGTACTTTACTTTATAAAATGACTTGGCCAATCAAGTTGACGAGATAGATTCCAATGGCAAGTTATAAACTCGTGTCCGAGAGCATTTGGGTCTCAAAACACCAAGGATCTTTCGTCCATACACAGCGTAAACTTCACGGAAGTTATACATTCTTGAGCCATAGATAACAAAGTTCATGGCGGAGTTTGACAGAGCTAAGGTCCTGATCCACATATGTGCAATTCCTTGGTTTTTTATCAGTGGTTTTCCAGCAGCAAAAAGAGTGGCAACTAGCGGGAACCAAGACACAGTAAAGATGGCAATCACAATGGCCAGTGTGGAGGCAACGCGGATTTCAACTCTTGACTGGCTGGTATCACTCGAAGAGCGCGCTCTGAGTTGAATCCTTTCTTTTCGATGTTTGACCAATGATATCACTATCAGCGAGTAAGACAAAAACACAATAACATAACTGATTGCAAACATCCCTAAGGCAAGGAAAGCCTTGGGGAAACTTGCTGGAATAACGGCACTCAAAACTGGAACTGTTATCGGCAATGCCCAAGATGTTATCAGTAGTATTTTCAATCCATAGTTATCTATAATGCTTTTGTAGCGTAGAGGGTACACAACAGCGATGAAACGATCGACACTGATGGCTGCCATGTGTACAACGGAGGCTGAACAAGACAGCCTGGATAGTATTTTATAGGGCAAGTCCAAGTTTGCAGCGCAATCATTAAAGAATATCATTTTGGCCAGAATTGCTACAACAAGAGGTTCACACACCATGGTGACGATCAAATCAGCGATCGCCAAGCTGAACAGAAGGTAGTTTGATGATCGGCGAAGACGAGGGTTTTTAGCAACTGCCACGCAAACCAGTAAGTTGCCAAGTGACCCAAACACACCCACGATAGTATTTACTGTAATCAGGGCAACGCCATGAGCTAACGGAAGAGAACAATCTTCTTTTGAAAGGTTAGATGATTGATTACTCGCGTTCCCCAGCAAGTGGTCCATGATACAATTACCTCGGTTTTGTTCAGTTTGAAGCGACACGCGAAACTTACGGCCGTTTTGTTATGGCGTTCGTTGAGATATTGTTCCAAAATTAAGTTTCTCAACTTTAGCTGATGTACTTCCTAATCCGTATTAAATGTTACAATCAATATCATCAGAAGAGCGTCGGCTAAGAAAATCCATCAGAAATTTCCCCGCAGTTGGACTTGCAATGAACCTTCTATTCACATGGACTGTGCTCATGTCAATCCATGTAAATTCGTAAAGAATGACTCAACACTGAAATACTGATCGTCAGTATGGCAAGATAAATTAAGTATGGGAAGTGTCGTTAAGCCCTTGATAAAATATACCAGTTAAATGATATTTATCCTGTAACAGCGTTGATGTTTTATTTAACCATCAGAGAAGTCAAGTATTTCTTATCCTATCTTCACCTTTCCACTTATACTTTATAAAATTGTAAGTTCCAACAAACTGAAAGAGCCTGAGTGGATTCTTATAAAGTTATCAACATTTCGATTTTTAGTCATAGTTCGCGTGGGGTAAAATTAGTAAATCAGTATATCAAGGAGACCCTCTATATCCAATAAGATATCGGCTCTCATGCATGACCACAAAGCTCATTTGATGTTAAGGATACTAGCCTCACTTTTAAATCATCGGGGAATTTATTAGTTAGTTGAAAATTGTGATAAAGGTTTTTGTTTGACAACAATCGATTAACTTGCTAAAATGTTTATACCTGAAAATCAGGCAAACTGTAATCAAATAAGACAGATATTACGCTGACCCGAGAGAACAAGCAGTACCGTCGAGATAGTGCTAGGCAAAATCTGGCAGCACAAGCCAGAGAAGCTTTAAAAAGATTTCCTCCAACTCATTAAGTTCATAATCCATCAGATCGTGAGTAGCAGAATAGTGCTTACATAAATCCTGGTGGTGGGATGTTGACATCCATTCTGATTGAGTTCGGTGTCAATTAAGTGTTAATTAAGGGTAACGAAAAGTACAATAATAAGAGATGTTTCAGGTTTATTAGTCCAACAATAAAGATTGCAGTGTTGCATCGTGGTCTTGATTGTCGCACCAAAGCGTGATCGAGTTGGTTTGTTTGCAACACGCTACAAGATCATCTGTTTATGGAAACAAGGAGTTTTTAAAATACATGTAATAGTTACTGCAACAACAACAACAACAACTTGTTCACTCCCTAGATAAAGCGAAAATAATTGGCGTTAACTCATCAAAAATCGGCTGTTTCCTGTTAATTCCCCTACTGAGTCTGCAAAAAGTTCAGCAATTGGGGTTTCGGCCCCATGCCCGTTTTTTTTTTTCTTTTTAACTTAATTCCTCTTTGTTTGGCAATCTGGACAAAACGCTCGCCTTTGTTTCATGCATACTTGCATACTGGGCAAACTCTTTCGTCAAGCTGTTATCTTGTACTATTATCCACTATTTACGTAAAGTTATAGATGCGAGTTCGCGAACATTTTGGGGTCATAGAAACAACAATCTTATTGCCAATCACAAAAAAAGCTTCACGGAAGATTTGCATCCTTGAGCCATAGACCAGAAAGTTTATGGCGGAGTTTGACAAAGCCAAGGTCCTCATCCACATGTAGGCAACTCCGTGCCTCTTGACCAGCGGCTTCCTGGTTGCAAACATGATGGCAATTAAAGGAAACCAACAGACAGTAAAAACAATGATCACAATCGCTAGCGTGAAGGCAACGCGGATTTCAACACGCCGAGATTGACTGGTATCCCTAGAGGAGCGAATTCTGAACTGGTTTCCTTGTTTCCGGTGTTTGACCAGAGATATCACTATCACTGAGTAGCACAAGAAAATAGTAACATAGCTGGCAGCAAACATCGCTAACCCGAGATAACCTTGTGGAAAGTTCTTTGGAATAACAAAGCTCAAAATAGGAACCGTAATCGGGTACGCCCAACAGGTAATCAGCATTGCCTTTAATCCACAGTTATCCATGATCCTCCTGTGGCGTAGAGGGTACACAACAGCAATGAAACGATCAACACTGATAGCTGCCATGTGTGCCACTGAAGCAGAACACGAAAGCATGGATAAGATTCTGTATGCAAGTTCCAAGTCTGTGGCACAATCGTTAACGAATGTTCTCATTCCGAAGATTGCTACGACAAGAGGTTCACACACCATGGTGACGATCAAATCAGCGATCGCCAAGCTGAGCAGAAGGTAGTTTGATGATCGGCGAAGATAAGGATTTGTAATAACTGCGACGCAAACCAGTAAGTTGCCAAGTGTTCCAAACACACCCACGATAGAATTTACTGTGATCAGAGCAACGCCATGAGCTAACGGAAGAGAACAATGTTTTGATGAAAGGTTAAATGTTTCATTACTCGTGTTCTCCAGAGAGTAATTCATGGCACTGTTAGAAAGACCCTCGATCAGCTACGTTATGCTCAGTTAGTGAAAGTCAACTGATGGATCGAAATGCTAAACTAGATAGACTAATAACACTAAAGCTGTGAAAGTCAACAAGTCGTCATTGCACTTCTTACTTTAAACACTAAGATATTGTTTTAAACAATATAGTTTTAAAACTGCCACCGATTAATATATGTTGTAATCATTCTCCGAGTGCAGCTAATATAATAAGCTGAGTACTTGATGATAGCGTTAACTGCTTGAAGACTGAGTCGGCTTAAAACTTTCTTTTGTCTTCTGAACCGCCGACCTCTGAAAAAATTCATGAGTTTCTAATTTCCCTTGTCTTCTCCTAATTAAAAATATTTTCTTCATTCGCAAGGAATGAGAAACATGTACTGACATGACAAACAGCATGCATGGACAGGAAGTAACCCTTCATGTCATTAAACCCATAAAATATTGGGAATAATATTCCTCTGCAGATATAGTTCATTCACTTGGTTCTTCACAAGGAACTCAAGTTAGGCATTTCAACATTGAAAAGGAAGCAATGAACGGAAACGTTAAGTGCCAAGGTGTGAAGTTGGGGACCTCCCGAGTTTAGAGCGCTTTCAGGGTGAACGATCCAATCATTACAGAAGAAAACATTAATTGACTTTCCAACCTCACTTAATTCCGATGCCTGTTGGTAGCTCAATTCAAATATTGATAACAAAGCTAGGATATTTATTGAAAGAGAATTTTTTTGGTATCCTTCCACGTACGATATCTAGTCTAACGAAATAGTGGAAATATTGTCAATGTCAAACTGTAAGGTTGAGATGAAAGTACACGAAATTACTGCCGATACGTATTATCCATACAGTGAAAATAAAGGTCAAAACTAGATTAAGGTCATTCCTCACATTTGCATTGCGCATCCTTACTGCGCATAATTTATGGCGTCATTAGCGCGCGCTTGTGCACGCGCATATTGAAAACAT